GGCCAGCACGATGCCCAGCGTGTCGTTCGGGTCTATATTACCCGGGTAATCGTCTGGATCGCATGAGAGATATGCAATGTCGCCTGCCTTGAGCTTGTTGGCGTTGCGAGGGCTCACGGTCACCAGCCGTCCTGATATGTGAAGTTCCTGAAAAAACATCTGTTAGCACCACGTCATCATAATAACAGCACAACAGCACAACGGCGGTACAAGACACACCTTTATAGACTGGTCCAAGACGTAGAGATCAGGTGTAGACGGGAAGAGATGCAGGTCTTTTCTGCCCGGCAGTGGCTCAGGGCTGAGGTTGAGCGAGTACAGCGGGCTTCCGACCTGCAGGGAGCCACGAGAGTCGATAGGCTTGATAGACTGAGCAGCGGCGAGTCCTAGGCTGAGCCCGAGGGCAAGAAGCCGCCAGAGGGAGGCCATGATGAGGACATGAAGATACGTTCCAGAGGAGGAGGAGGAGGAAGAAGAAGAAAAGTTGGTGGCAGAGGGAAAAAAAGTTGAGGAAGAAGAAAAGATGGGACGATCGACGACGGAGTCCGGGGAAGAAAAGATGAAACCCGCTTGATGCTCATCCATTCGACATGTACATCGACAGGTACATCATATGTAGACAGTTATACAGTAGTTATACAGAAGATACATCGATACTGAGACGGGCGACCGGCTATTCTAACTGTCTTCTTCATCGCCTGTTTTTCTCTTCGCCTCGTATTCTCTCGCTAGTTGCTGATCGCCTGCACGTCATCGTGGCTGAGGATAAGATGTATAAAGATGTCTACTAGAGGAAGTATGGAGGATAAGATGTAGATAGCAGGTAGAGCAGGATTAACGATTCAGCAGATAACGAGTGACTTCGGTGAGATACAATATAAAAGGAGACAGCATATCAACCCCTGAAAGCATCAAAACAGTCTCTAGCAGCGAACAGACTTGACAGGGAAGGGGAAACGTATCCATCCATCTCCGTCGACACTGTTGCCGATTCCCTTGCAGTCAGACTCGCTGAAGATCTCGCAGGAGCCGCCTTCAGACCAGCCAGAGACAAATGGGCGGCCATCTGCGTTATCAGTCAGTAGATGTTGCAGCATTAAACTATGGATGTATGATATTCTTACCGCCAGATCGGAGGTTGGTGCAGACGAGCCAGGGAAAGTCAGCAGGTACGCAGTCCTTCTTGCCTACTTTCTTGCACAGTTGCAGGCGGGTGGCTTCGGTGGCAGCGATCATGCCGATGAGGATAGCGGTGATGTTGGTGAGCTTCATTTTGAGATGTTGGATGGACCAATTGGTTGATTGAGGTGTGTTTGTTGGCCTTAGTTGTTGATCTTGTCTTTGATGTTGAGTTGATGATAGAGCCAGTTGACGTGCATCGATGCCATCTTTATACCCCAGGATGAAGCCTGTAGGTCTATCGAAGGGTTGGAGAGACGCCCTCTCGTTGTGTATGTGCACGCCGGTCCAGCAATCATCCAGTTGTGGTCTTGTCCAGAGTGAACGTTGATATCAGGTTGATATCTAGACAAGCCACAACATCTTAACCACAACACTGTGAAGCCTCGTACCAGGCCCGCGTCTAGGGTAAGCTTATACTCAAAAGCGTAACCAAGCTTGGGTTATCATCTTCTCGTACCCAGAGTACGCCCTTGATCGAATTCCAGCAAAAGGTCGTACAGTAGCATCGCCGAAGTCCTTATGGACCAGTGTTGATCAGTCCCGTGAATACGGGCCGCCACTCAGTCTCTAGGCGGCTGAGACACGATGCGCCTTTCGTGCCCTTTTAGTGGAACTGACTGCATCTATATTTAATGCCTCTCCTTCTTCCAAGGTCTATAAACTCACCTATTCAACAATTTCTATACTTACCATAGACAAGTAGCTTGATATTTCACGATGAAGTTCCTTTCTGCCATTGTTATGAGCGTGCTCGTCAGCGCTGTCAGTGCCACTCCGGCAGATGCAGCACTGTTCGAGCGAGCCATTGGATCCAAATGCAACGCCCCCGAGGGTGAAGGATCGTGCCAGACGACTGGTAACTGCAAGGGTATCTCTTACCCGCAAGCCCTTTGCCCAAACGATCCCAACGACGTCCAATGCTGCGTGGAACACCAGTGCTCTACCGGGGCTGGCTCAGGCTTCTGCCGCAGCGTCTCGAACAACGGCTGTCCAGGCGGGCATTTCGACAAGGGTTCTGGACCTGTGTGTAACCATCTCTTTTTTTCTTTCCTATAAAACATTTAACTCTAACGGTTCACAGGACTGGCCATGCCCTGGCAGCGACGACATCCAGTGCTGCATCAAGGGGGGAGACGACAACGATCCTCCAGGCGATGGCAGCGTTGGACAGAAAATCCTCGAGAAGGCCATGACTGCCGCAGGCGTGCCTTATGCATGGGGAGGAGGCAGCTGTGACGGTCCAACTGGCGACATGCCTCCATGGGACTTTGGCGAGATTGGGTATGATTGCTCTGGCTTGGTTTCCTGGGCTGTCTGCCAGGTTACCGGACGAGACCTGTTCAAGGAAGGTCTGCGAGTGACTCGAGTCATGTACTGTGCCTCGGAGTCAAAGTTGCGCTACAAGTATGGTCCTTCACAGCTTATAGCTCTCGTTCATCCCATATTGACCGTGTCTGATATGTAGGAAACATCCCTACGCCGAACGCCAGCCAGGAGACGCCGTTTTCTTTGGCGGAAGATGTGACTGCGGGAAACCAGACACTATTCACCATGTTGGATTGATGATGTATGCTTTGCGTCTCCTTGTCCCTTTTATAGCTTCAGTCAATGCTAACATCTTCACAGGGACTCGGGTGACCGCATGTGGAATGCCCCCAACGACAAGATCAACAAGGTCCAGGAGAACAGCATCTCTAGGTTCGGCGAGAGGCCTTGTCCATATGTTATTCGCTTTGAGTAGACCTGTTGATCTTTCCCCTGTCTCTGCCGTCTTCTGTATATCTGATATTGGACCTGTCTCGTTGATTTTGCTTTTGTATCTGTATAATCCTACCCCCGTCAATCAACTTAAATTAAATTCGATGCTCAAGCAAGAAAAAGAAACCATCATCTCTTCACTTTGTCTTCTTTTCATCTGCTTTTCATCTCATCTTCTTAAAAGTTGGATGTGCCTGCTTAGTCATGGTTTCATCTGGCGAATCTTCACGCTGATTGGCCGGAAGCTCCCGTCTTCAACATCTTCAAACGACAAGAAATTTCTACAAGAACAAGCAAGTTATAAGAAGAGACCCTGGCTATAATAACAACCAGTTTGACGGAGTGGCCGACTGTGGATGGTGGCGATGACTTGACAGGTTGTTGTTCTGGTCTTGAAGTGGTCCTGGTTACATAGTACGCGATACTCTGCTAGAAAAGTCACTGTACAGAGAGCATACTGAGAAACATTCAGGCATGGCCATACGAAGATATATGCTATGAATATTTTACACGAGATATATCTATCTTGCATATCCATGGTCCTCCACCTATATCCGCAAGTACCTTGAAGAAAATGAGAGTCAAAGAAACTCCACTGGATGAGACCATATTTAGCAGTCGACAGGCAGGGCTCCGTCGTCCGTATGCTCCATGGCCAGCTCAACCTCAGCCTTACGACGGCGGACCAGTCCAGGCAGGACGTGACCACCCGCCTTGTTCCACAGCGGCAACTCCTCTCTAATCACAGTATCGACGTCTTGTCCCTGGTTAAGTCTCTTGATGAGAGAAGACTTCTTCGCTGCGCCTCCACCGACGTTAAAGGCCCATGAGACCAGAGCACCGTACTGGTTTGCGTTGAGTACCACGCTGTCTGCAGTCGAGAGCGTGATGGACTGCTGTGGACTCTATAAGGAAATGAGCATGCGTTTTAAAGGTCTGTTAATAGCGATATGCATACCTTCACGTCCTGGTGGAGCAGTTCAGTGGCGGACTCTTCAGTCAAGGGGAAAGGGAACGGGACTTCGCCGCACCCCTTGGTACGGCAGAGATGGCCATATCCGACTGTGGGCAGGCCGATGGGGTCTGGAGCGGGACGAGGCACGAAACCTTCGAAGTGCTTGATGAGAGCGATGGTTTCATCATTGACGTCGGGGCCGATACAGTCACGCTTTGCGACTTTGTTGAAGACTTCTGCAGGCTGGGCCAGCGCAGGGATGGAGAGGAGAGAAAGGGCAATGACTACTGCGGTGGAATGCATGATGAGAAGGGCTGGGCTTCGGTTGATACTTGGGCTGTATGGCTATAGGCTTCTAGTTGGTACTTGGGAATACATCTGAAGCCGATAGTACTCTCTTTATATGTCTACATCCCTTCAACATCTACATACAAAGAATCCCAAGACCGTCAGCAAGCAGCCGACACAGAGTAGCAGAAGCCAGACAAGATCTTGAATCTTTCATGTAATAAGCCGTGATAGGGCTGAGAGCTGCCCGGAGTACCATCGACAACATGGACATGGCTGTGTTTGAGGATAGACCCAGGCGGCTTTCCGGCTGCCCCTGAACTAATTATATCTTATTATGTCTGGCGAACCATCACTTGACATGCTTATTACATCGTCTATAAGGTTGCACTACTCCGGGCCAGTGCCGTTACATCCTCTTCGACGGCCCGTAGCTCACCCGCGCCCTGTACCTTATTCGAGCACGAAGATCCAAAATACAGACTCTCACGGTATCATTCTTGCTTTCGTTTCTGTGTATACGATGAGAAAGAAGGGCGTGAACCTCAGATATTTGCCATAATAGCACTCTGGTTCGTATAGAAGTACGTATGCCATAGATCTATTTGGATATATATTGAAAGATGTAGACAGTATTGGTAGGGGTATCAGGTATTCAAACATCAATATCAGTCTTATAGTAACAATCATGCGGTTCTCTCTTCTTGCTCAGCTTGCCTTTGGCCTGATAGCTGTTTCGGCCGCGTCTCTTCCACAAGAGGGTGCCTTCTGCCAGACTCCTCGGGTGAGACTTCAAAGTATCAAGTATTTCAACGGCTAACACGTCAATAGGGATTTGGTAAATGCCAGACATCCGATCAATGCAACGGATACTCAGACTGGTCAGAAAACATCATATATATAATATTGAACGGGTAACTGACATATGGATAGGGACATTACATGCCCCTTTACCAGCCGCTGCTGCGTCACCCACATCACGCCAGCCAAACGCAACGACGAGTGCGCTTCTCCCGCAAAGGACACCTGCAGCTTCTACGAGAACTGTCTGGAAGCGAAGGTGCCGTGTGGGCCAGACGGCTACGCCCTCGCGTACGGAGACCACTACTGCAACAAGTTCTCAGAAGCAAGCCACGATCTGTCGGAGAAGGGTCAAGCATGGGTCACCGAGACGATGCTGTGCCTGCAGCAGAAGCTGGTTCCCTTCGGGACGGGCCAGGAACAAACGACCTGCCCTGCCATCAGGGAGTTCGCCTTTGCTACTCATCCGGACTGCTACATCAAGGGCGGAGTCTGTCTTCTCCCGCCAACGGACTGGGTGGTTATCGTAGGCACCGTCGGTCTACTGGAGCTGTTTGACAGCGTCGACGCCCTGGTGGCTACGCTCAAGACTGTCGGGGGCTGTCTGGAGTTCTATATCTGGCTCATCAAGAACCACTTCATCGGCCAGTCCAAGCTGTGGGATGTCACTGACAGGTTGGCCATCGCCCCAGAGTAATAACGAGGACGTTATAGCACCTGCAGCCAGCCTAGTCAGCCAGTCGTCGATGGAGTACAGCCGGTCTCGACCAGTCAGCTATCAGCCAATCCACCAGTTATCAGCCAATATCAGGCCCGTATTTAATGTGAATCCGGATGCAAGAATACGTAACGCTCAAGCGGTGGAGATTGCTGGGTGGAGATGAAACGCCGTCTGCTTGCTCGCCTCAGCCGTCTTTTCTTCTGCGACTTTTTCTCTTCTTCTCATCTTCATCTTCGTCTTTTAACCCTTCCTAGTTTTGCTGATCAGTCTTTACCTGCTTGATTCCTTGTCTCGTTTCCCACGTTCATTTCCACCAGGATCTGCCCCCTTTCACTCGTTTCATCATTTATACACCCCTGCGGCTTGATCATTCTATAGATAGAGATATCACTCCATAGATATATTTCTTCTTCCTCTCGTTTTACTTGTCAATCGTTGTATATCTGTCAAATGTCCGGCCGTCCTGGCATCGGTAAACGATTCTCCCACGACAGATTCACCATCATACCAGACTCTTCAGACTCGAAGAACTCCAAGGGCATGCCAAACGACGCCACCATTGACATTCCTCTCACGGCCGTGCCTAGCGTGTCCCAGACCGGTGCCCGCAGGCCTGAGGACGGCGAACACTACTTTGAAAAAGACCATGACGGCGCAGACGGAGGAGGAGGAGGAGGTGGTGGTGGTGGAGGAGAAGGAGAACGGTCAATCGGTGGCCGTCGTCGAGCTCATGGGCATCATGGAGACAGGACGGGCAGCTCAGACGAAGACGGGACGGTGACTCGTATGGGCCGTTTCTACAACAAGATCCTCAATTTCTCTGTCGTTACGCGGTACTTCATCTACGTCCTGCCTGTGGCATTGCTGTTTGCTGTGCCCATTATCGTCGGGGCGTTGGCTGCACCCTCCGCCAGCATTGGTGGTGTCCGCATCGTCTGGTTCTTTGCCTGGGTTGAGATCGTCTGGCTGAGCTTGTGGGTGTCCAAGGCAGTTGCTCACTATATCCTCTTCGTCTTTCAGTTCCTCTTTGGCATCGTCAGCTCAGGGACGAGGAAGTACGCTCTCATCCTCAGGGCGTTGGAGATTCCGCTTTCCCTCGTCGGATGGGCCATCACCTCCCTCGCTACTTTTATACCGGTGAGTCTAGCAATTTGATACTGGAAGAATACGATATTAATACTATATAGGTGATGACAAGGAACCCGGATAACATCAAGGAACCCAGTATCAAGCCATGGCAGACCGTAGTCAACAACCTGCTCTTTGCATGCTTCGTCTCGTCTCTTATCCTGGCCGCTGAAAAGGTCCTCGTCCAGCTGATATCAATCTCCTACCACCGCAAGCAGTTCGATACTAAGATCAGAGAGTCCAAACGGAACGTCCACCTCATCGGTATGCTCTACGCCGCCTCCCGCAAGATGTTCCCTGAGTACTGCAAGGAGTTCGAGATGGAAGACTACATTATCAACGACTCCATCATGGGCATAACCGGCAAGAAGAAGGGACACGGACGCTCTGGCTCGGCCTCCCCCATGCGTCTTATCCAGAATGTTGGTCAGAACGTTGGTCGAGTAGGAGACAAGATCACCGCCGCGTTTGGCCACGTCGCCCATGAGATCACCGGAAAGCAGGTCTTCAACTCGACCTCGACCCATTCCATCGTCATTCTGGCACTGGAGAAGCGTAAGTCATCAGAAGCCCTGGCCCGTCGTCTCTGGATGTCGTTTGTTCTCCAAGGCCGAGATGCATTGTATCTTGACGACTTGTACGATGTCTTTGGACCAGACCACCGCGGTGAAGCAGAAGAGTGCATGGCTGCCCTGGACAGAGACGATAACGGAGACATCAGTCTGGACGAGATGATTCTCACCGTCACCGAGTTCGGCAAGCAGAGACAGTCCATGAGCAAGTCCATGCATGATGTCGACCAGGCCATCAACGTCCTAGACAACCTCCTCCTGGCCGTCGTCTTCATCCTCGTCGTTTTGGTCTTCGTTGCTTTCCTCAACAAGGGATTCGGCACTACTCTTGCCGCTGGAGCTACTGCACTGCTATCCATGTCCTTCGTCTTCGCTACTACCGCCCAGGAAGTCCTTGGTTCCTGCATCTTCCTCTTCGTCAAGCACCCCTACGACGTCGGTGACCGCGTGCACATCAACGATAACGAGCTTATGGTCGAACACATCTCCCTCCTCTTCACCATCTTCAGGGACATCCGGAACCACAAGACCATCCAGGTGCCCAACATTGTGCTCAACACTCAATGGATCGAAAACGTCACTCGCTCCTCGGCCATGCGCGAACAGCTTACTCTGACATGCGACTTTGGTACTTCGTTCGGTGACATCCAGCTTCTTAAACGTGAGATGCAGACTTTCGTTCGTGCCAAGGACAACTCTCGCGACTTTGGTCCAGACGTCGACGTCGAAGTCTCCGGGCTAGGAGAGATGAACAAACTTGAACTCAAAGTCGAAATTCGACACAAGTCTAACTGGCACAACGAAGTCGTACGAGCCACCAGACGGTCCAAGTTCCTCTGTGCACTAGTCCTAGCTGTCAAGAAGATCCCGATCTACGGTCCAGGAGGCGGAGATGCAGCTCTCGGCGACATCTCTAAGCCATCTTACTCGGTCTCCATCTCTCACGAACAAGCCCAACACAGCAAAGATGAATTCGCAGCTAAAAAGGAAGCTAAACGCATGATTCCAACCGACCAGATGGACGAAGCTCTCTCCGCTGATCCCGCACCGTTATCCCCCCATCCTGGCGCTGGCCCTGCCGCCGCGGCAGCAGCCTCTGCTTCAGGTCTAACATACCGCGGTTCATCAGCCAGCAACAACACTGGCATCCACTCGCCAAATATGAACCCGGAAGCAGCATTCGCCAGTGCCCTCAACTCCCGACCGCCAATGGAAAGTACCCCTTCGTCAGCAACAATAACAAACGAGCATCTCATCCGTGGTCCCTCAACCGGCCATAGACGCATGAGCCAGAACCCCAACCTTTCGCCAAACATGGACAGTCACAGTAGCCGTACAGCTGTATCTTCCAACACGCCTGTAGCAGAATATCAAGAGTACGACTACGAGTACTCTAACAACCCCTTCAGGACCACCAGCCCCCACGATCAAGGATACAGTCAACAGCCTGGCTCTTCCAACCAGGCACAGGGCAATGTCCACCCAGCGACCATCATAGCCAGGGGCCAGACACCAGGTCAAGGCCAGGGACCCCCGCGCGTATAAATCGCCTCATCAATTGAATTTTTCTTGAAATGACGGTTAACACGGCGCGGTACGGTAGTTATGGTCTTCTTTTTTACTAAATTGTGTGGCTTGGTTTACGTGGACAAAAAAGCATTTCTCTCCTTCTACCAAATTGTCGTTCTCTCTTCTTTTTCTTGATTAATTTCACCTCATAGACTCCTTTCCTTTTGGCAACAGAAAGCCCATCCTTAGGTCGGGCCATCACTCCTTTCATTCTTTCTGCTAAACATGCTTAGGACCTGTTTTGGCTGGACCATATTCATTCCTTCGTCTAACTCTTTGCAATTCTCCTCTCGGGATACGTTTGGTTACCTGCTATTTACCATCCTGTACACATATTACTACACGAGACTCATGAATCTGATCTTTGCCATCTTCTTCCTCACCGTCGTTCTCTTTTACTTTGCTTCTCCACATCCCTTCTTGTCTTTCAAAATTAAGTTGTTTCTCCTGGAAATTAAGAAGGCTACAGATAATATCCTATTTGCAGTGTTTGCACTATGTTTGTTGCTTAATAATTAGCTTCCGGTTAAATATTATTACCCTTCCGAATGAGTAATTACTGACTAATATACTTACTGCTTATTAATCACAAACGGAGATTAATAACCCGCTGAAAGTTTATTGGTAAGCAGCAAAGGCGGTGCAAACAGAACAAACACATCACGTGCCATACCCCATCTTTGCCGCCCGCAAAATAAAAAGAAAAACCATAAAATGAAGCGAAAGTTCAACTTCAACTTTCCATCTCAACCTTTTTTCACGATGTCTCGCCGTTGATAATGTCGATATTCCTCTCTACTGGCCATCACTGACCGTGGCGGGAATCGCTTGGTCGGTAGAAGTTGTCATCATCTGTTCCTAGGGCCGCGCGGAGCCAAATACCCCCCCCCCCCCTATATATACATACATAGCGCCAACAAGGCCTAGACAAAGATCAACCATGCCGGAGCCCACCTACAAATCCACATCTACAAGCTCATCTACAACTCCAGAAATCGACACTCCCAGCTCCTCTACTTCAAATCTCTCGGACGATGGCATCCGCCTCTCTCCTAATGGACTCTACCTGACTCTCAGCGAAATCGGCCAGCACGAGAACTACCACTGGGCCTTGCTAGTCGCCAACTCAACCACCACCGGCACGCGACTGCATCAGTTCCGACCCAACGACGAATCTGAATGGCAGTATACCACACAAGCTGAAGATGTTGCTACGTCACGCGATATGCTGGTGGCTCTCAAGGTAGGCGAGCTACCTGACATCAACCCCGAGTGGATGGCGGCCATAGACGAGTGTGTTCGCTCTGCGAATCTACGGGAATCAGAGAAATTTTCATGTCGGGCATGGGTGATGGCTGCTGTGTATGCCTTGGCGGACGGCGGGTTTATTGATCTGGAACCTTGTTGGGTGAAGGTTGGCATGGTAGAGGAGGAAGCGAAGGCGTTGGTGGCTGGCGCAACCTCGCTGGATACTAAGATCGTGGTTTCGAGTAAGTATCTATGAGAGTGACGGGGCTACTACTATGAGTGACAGGACAGGTTACGGATTACGTCGATAGGGAGATACCACTAAGTTGTCACTTGGGAGTTTGATATCTACGTTGGAATGAATTTTCTTTGGAGGATACGTGAAATTGATATTTCGGTCTAAGCAGAAGCTTTAATGAACTAACAATGTCACTAACCCATAACGATTGTCACTTTGGTTCCTTGGTTCCTTTTGGTAATTAACTGATCCTTAGTATTGGAGTATAGGTGATAAACCACGAACTCAAAACATTTTTGATTATAATTAATATCATCAATATTAAAGGACCCTTTCTTAGTATGAAACTTGGCCAGCTCCTTGATATTTAAACAGCTTCTTCTGCAGATACCCTCCTCCTAGGAACCAGTGAATGTTTCGGCGCCAAACACCTTGCCCTTGTCACTATTACTTTGATATGTCAGTGATATCAATCAGTGAATGTCTCTGGAATTTGATGAACATCCCCTTTGGTCGCCACCAAGCCGGTTATTTAAACCAGCCAGATCCCCAGCTTCTCCAGTTCTTTTCTTCTTCCTTTTCTACTTCATACTCAGCAGTGCCAGAAGCTTGCAGCCTCTACCTTTTGTGCTTTGATACCTATATTGTGGTTCTTACATCATCTATCAACTATGTAGACCGCTACCAACAAGGGATACGAAGACATACTCTCGTCTAGGCCTGCCATACATGCTACTACACCGATGTGGCCATAATACTTGTTGACCGGTATCGACAAAGGCCAGAAACATATCCGCAGTCAGCAACGTTTGGTGGCTGGCTACCGTGCCCTTGCGGACGACTTTATTATTTGCCTAGCCTACTATGCCGATAGGGATGCCCAACTGGAGCGCAATTAGGCGGTATTAATACTTACACCATGGGCAACCTTCGTGCGTGATGGAAATTTGATACTTATTTCAATATAACAAAACCGCTAGCGTAGCTGGACTCCGTTAATGCTCCGAATATGCCCTGATCATGTTTACATGCGGTTATATCTAGCCTTGGTGCGACCATTCATCAAATTTCTCCAGTCAACGCTTTGCGGCATATCTCTCCTTGAGGCAGAAGCCAAAGATTTCTAGCACTTTGGGTTTACAAATAGCCTTCGTGACGGTACAATTCGTCGATTCATTAGCAGGGCATATAATGGAGCACCATCTCAACGGTTACCACTGTTGTTCTACCAATGACAACTACTATAACAGAAATGCATAGGTCATTCCATCACAGTATCGGAATAGCGACATATAGCCATTGCATTGAAGGAAGAATATGTATATGGGCGAGACGGTACCGCATATACCATTCGACCAAAAGATCATACACAGTGATGAAATATGCTATCGCGACTTACTGCACCCTTTACATACTTGTATGCTTGATGGAAGCTCTATGCCGCCTATGATCAGACTGCCTGTGTGTAAGCTGGTGCTTTTCATCTGCCTACTATAGGAATCATGCGCTGTGATATGACAAAAAATGCCTCTCTAGCCCATGGGTTGGCGGCAAGTTGAATACGGAGGGATCTGCTGGCCACTGCAGAAACTTGGAATATTGCTTATACAGCTAGGCATGAAAAGTCAAGTTACTGCCCTCGAAGAAGCTTTTTTGGAGTTAAGAGCGAAAGTCGCGCATGATGTCTCCTAGTGATGTCTCGTGGTGGCTCCATAATTCAAACGGGGATGTTTAAGAGAAGTCATTCTCTACTATGGAGAGACTTATGTGCATTACGACAGGGCCTATTCCAGCCCCGGACTCGGAGCTCGTATATATCAACGAATATACATTGTATACCCACGATTCTTTGTTAGGCGACGCCGAACCTCCTACCAATAAGGGGAAGTTACTAGATTTTAACTGCCTAAGACAAGGGAGTCATATCCATCTCTTATCCTAGCAGCGAACCGAAATATAGCCACAGGGCCTGCCCTCGACCACCACCTTTTGCCATTATTAGGTGAATTACTATTTAATCGAAGGTTATAGAGGTGGAGGACCTCAAAGCTGCCAGGAACCTTCCAAAGTATACCCAATGCCGCAACGCCCCTACATTCAGTGATAAGCAATGTTGTACTCTGACGCTTCTGGATACGCTGGAGGACTACTCCTAGCTCAAGAACGGATGATCAAGACCCCCTCAGTTGTAGCTACTGATACCCCCCCAACCATGCCGGCTGAAAAACAGCCTATATAAGCCATACCTCCTGGCGCCCCGTGCCTGCCAGCATGCAGAACATTGCTCCCGCTATTTGGTAAGTAATTTTGATGATATAGGTGGAGAATCATCTATCTCATTGAAATCTGAGGAGAATGAGACTCCAATTTCCTGTTCGCATTCTGCATTCGGAAAGTATGGCATGATACTATTCGAACCTCAACGAGAGAGCAAAATGTCGATATATAGCAGAACACTGGCACTTTCTGACGCTGAACAATGCCACCTTCAATATTGAGCCCATTGATGACCGTGCCAGCAAAAAACTATACCTAGGCCGTGATTATAACATTGACTTGTTCGTTGATGGCCTTGAACAAGCATACTCTGAAGCATCCACTAGACGAAAACGAAACGAACATGCCTTTGTGGAGATGAACAATCCACGACTCTACACACAAATCGGTGAGAAAAGACGTTCTCCAGCAGGATGCCACTTGGAATGCACTACCCTGGACTCTTCCTTGGACTTATGCCATTCGGACTTATGTTCACATCATCTGCAGCCAGCATCCCAAGTTCTGTTTGCAATGTTAACTCTGATCGTTGTGTGTTTGCAACGCTTCTGCATACTTGGCGCGCATTCGTGATATTCCAGCCAGATGCCCTGCGAGCGTTGCCTCCCATTCATGAGAGATGTCAGTGAGTACTGTGTGCCTTGTGGTGTGGGCGTACTCGTGATCATCATCGTTGTGTGACGGCGCCCCGTACGTATTGGTGTCTCTTCCCGCTCAAAACGTAGGATTAGCATACAGCATCTTCACCTGCCCAGTTATGGACCAATTTGGATAACCAAAACCTTCGGTTTACACATTATGGAGTTGAGGTTGAACTTGACTCCCATTATTCGGTTATCTTCAGCTATCTCTGTTTGATGCCGAAGTATTAACAATTTATTATACCTTCTGACTGTGACCGTGATTCTATATAAGCTATTACCGTTCAAAGCTGGCAGCTTTGAATACGAGACTTTGACAGCGGTGCAGTGGTTTGATACTAGACGCAACCAACAAAGAAAACTAGACCGGCCAGTTGTTCCTCCAGAGCTATAGGGCTCTCTGGCCTTGGGCTAAATTGCTCCAGCACTGTGAACGATAGCGATGAAGGTTTCTTAAGAGAAGAAAACCGGGAGCTACCTACGGTACCGTCGGCCTCTCAGTGACTCTTCGTCTACCTTTGGGGGGTGTCTGTATATCGATTCAATCCAGCCCAAAGCTAGCTACCATCGGCTTCGAAGGCAAGTCTATGAGATGACTCAACATATGATCAATACAGGCTACCGCCATCTACAAGCGAAATGGCAGTGAATGCAAGATTGAAACTCCATGGAGAGGAAGATAGAGTCAGCCTGGAGTGGCCGCAGCAAGAGCTACTTTGAACCTATTGTGACTACAGAGAATGAACGCCTTATCAAGTGATTGTCGGAGTGACTGAGTACTAAAGTTGATCAGGCAGCGGCAGCACAAGCAACAGCATATCTGGGAGTACCAGAAGGAGGATAACAACAACAACAGAAAGAGAGCAACAGGAACGTCGGAGTCGGCGATATATTCACTCTATCTATTCATCAATTGGTATCTGTCATCTCCCGTTGTACCACTAGCCTATTACCTACGGCTGCTATAACTAACATCGACAACGGTCTAATGATACAATCTGGGCTCAACTACCATATTATCTAAAAGTTGGAGTGAATCTGGGAATCGACACCTGGTTGTTGATGGGCGAAAGATGAGGAACCAAGCGATGCGATATTCAGTTAACTACAGGATCTCTGCAGGTACCAAACATACATGTAACAGGAGACTCCTGAGGACTCCTTAAAGCTGGGTGTGAAGATACGAAACGGTAAGCAAGAGCTTAGCCGGAAGGGCGTGGGTGGTGCTGAGACAAAGGTACGACTGACTACCGTGTAAGAGTGATAATTTTGAAATAGAATAGAATTGAATTGAGAATAGAGTACAGAAAGAGTAGACGATCGTATATCATACCATCTAGCAAGTAGTGGTGTTTTCTTTTTCTTGATTTTCCAATTCCCCCCGGCCAATAGAGAAATATGAAAGATAGAAGATACAATGGGAATAAAGCTATGTCCGAAATTATGAGTGTTGGGTTTTGTACATTCGACCAGCGGGGGAGCTGCTGGTAGGGAATTGAGCGTTGATGGGGGGTCTACTTGGTGGTTTCTCTGACGACGGCGTCAACTGCTTCGGCGAAGTAGTCGATGTTGTGGACGTTGAGACCAGCCATGGAGATACGTCCGTTCTTGGTCTGTGATTATATTATTAGCAGGAGTGGTTAATAAGAGGCAAGGTAGATAAACGTTACCATGTAGATGTGCCACTTCTCACGGAGGATGTGGACCTGCTCCTCGGTGAGGCCGGTGAAGCTGAACATGCCGATCTGGTTGGTGATGTGGTCCCAGGTACCTGGGGTGCCCTTCTCCTCGAGACGGTCTCGGACGCCCTGTCTCATCTCGACGATACGGCCGCTCATGGTGCGGAGATCCTCCTCCCACTCCTTGAAGAGGGCGGGATCGTTGAGGACGAGGGAGGCGAGGCGGGCACCGTAGGCGGGCGGGTTGGAGATCTCGGAGCGCTGCAGGATGGCTAGCTGGGAGGCGACGTTGGAGAGGGCTTCTGCGGAATTCGGGCCGGGGGCGGTGATGAAGTGGAAGGCGCCGGCACGCTCGCCGTAGAGACCAAAGTTTTTGGCGAACGACTGGGAGACACACATCTCGAAGCCCTCGGAGACGAAGTAGCGAACGGCCCAGGAGTCGCGGGTGAGGTCACCGGAGGCGAAGCCCTGGTAGGCGCAGTCGAAGAAGGGGAAGTGGTTGCGCTCGCGGATGACGGTGGCGATCTGCTTCCATTGGTGCTGGGTGGGATCTACACCGGTAGGGTTGTGAGCGCAAGGGTGAAGGAGGATGACAGAGCCGGAGGGAGCGGCGCGGATGGCCTTGAGCATGCCCTCAAGGTTGAGGCCCTTGTTGGCCGGGTTGAAGTAGGGGTAGTAGGCCGACTCGAGGTGGACGGTCTTGAAGATCTGGGGGTGGTTTGGCCATGTTGGGTCGGACAGGTAGATGGTTGGCTTGGGCGAGGAAGGGAAGAACTTGGAGATGAACAGGCCACCGAGATGGACGGCACCGGTGCCGGAGATCGTCTGGAGGCTGACCACCTACTGCTTCGTTAGCCTTTGTTTTGTTTCTGTCTCAGATGTGACGACGCACTCTGTTCTCCCTGATGGCAGGGGAGTTCTCGCCGAGGATGAGCTTCTGAGCAGCGGTGGTAAAGTCCTTTAGTCCGGCAATAGGGAGGTACTCGTGGTTAAGCTTGGGATCGTCTCGCAGCATGCGGTCGGCCTGGGGACGTTAGCATGTGTTCGCCGCTGCGTTATCGTACGATGCAGGGGGAGGGAAAACTCACCTTCTTGACAACGGGGAGGACCCATGGCTTCGCATCACTGTCCCTGTAGGCACCGATACCGAGATCGATCTTCTTGTCTGAGGTGTCTGCTCTGCAGGCGGCCGCAAGACCAAAGAGAGGATCTTCTGGTGCCTTGGGCACGGCCGACGGAGTGAAGAAGCTGGGCGTCATGATGTGGCGTGAGACTGTGTCCAGACGGTCGCGGGCAATCGTCGAGAGGGCAGATGGAGCCATTCTGGAGGAGAAGAAGACGAGGAAGCGGACGAAGCTGTAGAAATAGAAGAAAGCAAGATGTAAAAATGTTGGACGGGCAAAAAGAAAGAAAGAAGGCGAAGTCGAGGAGGAAGCAAGACTTTCTGGTGGATCTTCCCGCCGTTTAACTCCGAGGCTGTTTTATAGATTGAACGAGGACGAAGAAGAGGAAGAAGAAGAGGAAGAAGAAGAGGAAGAAGAAGAGGAAGAAGATATAAATATCGTCTCAGGCCTTCTCGCGTGTCTTGTTCAGCGCCCGTAACCGCTCTTGCATGTCGACCAGGATGCAGAAAGTACCCCAGCAACTCCGTTCAAGGGGAAGAGGAAGAAAAAGAAAAGAAAAAGAGGAACATGGCTGATCCTGACGAGTTCCTGTTCTTCCGTTTCATCTGCTTCTAGGCCTTCTCTGCTGACCTTTTGCTGCCGTTCGTTCGTTCGGACGGGTTCGACTGGCCAGCTGAGGACGAGGAAGCCCTGCACAGCCCTGTGTCTGCCCGATGGCTGCGGCAATGTCAAGACGACGCGACTGGCCTGCGATAGACCTCGCTGACCATGCGACAGGCTGCTGCCCGATCTGCTTCTCCCTGGCTCATCCGTCCGGGCTGGCAGGGTTTCCGGTCTTATAGGTTCGTTCGTTCGTTTCGTATCCAGTTTTGGCCCTGGAGAGCCGAGAAGTTCTCGAAGGTCTCGGGACCGTTGGTCGTCATGCCATCCTGGCCGAGATCGATTGGACGGGAGGCCGATGATGGCGTCCTCGTTCGGCGTTTCATCTTCTTCTTCGTCGTCTTGCTTTCGTCGTCGTTTTTTCGTCTCTTCTTTGCTTGTCTACGTCACGTGGTTATGGATGTTGATATAAAAGATGAAGAAGATGAAGTAGGAGAAGTAGATGTAGAGACGATATGAATAGCTAGCTGGAACATGGCTGGCATGGCCGCCTCAGTCCTCTTTGCCATCCACTGCTGTAGCCATCATAGTTATATGATAATCCATCGCCCCTGGACCAAACACGGCTGTTCGGTATGGAGAAGCTAGTGAGTTGAACGGCCAGTACTTGGTCTCCCAGTGTCAGGCGTCGATTCGAGTAGGTCGTCGCGTCTGGCGGCCGTTTGAGGCCGGGATCTCCAGGCACGCCATCCTGGGCTATGTCGATGTAGGTCTTCTAGCTCGGGTGAGCTCGTCGTTGGCGTCGGGAGGCAGGCTGCCTTTGAAGCTCTAGCCGCGGGACGGGCTGAGCCTCAATTCAGGGGTGAGAAAGACGAGCAGT